ATGCACATACAAATACAGAGACAGACACACTCACATGCATCGAAGTTGACGTATGATTTGAACTAACCAAATCACTTTATACTTGATCAAAGAGGTCAGATGTAGAGTATAGATACCACTTTTTAGGGATTTGCCGGTCAGTTTTCTTGACTCGTTAGCTTCAATTTTGTTGTGACGATGATACCTCGTTCGATGATGTTCCTCATTTAACGTAAGAAAGCTTAGCACCTTTTCATCGGAATCGAAGGAAATTGCCTTGGAAACAGCGTCAGCATTAAGGCCAATCTACAGCTGATCAAAAGGAATCCGCCGTCGTCTTCTGGTGGAACCGACCTACGAATCTCTTCACGCAACACTTCCACTCAAAATGGAAGTAAACTCAACAAAAGTTAGAATCTTGTCTCATCAGCTCCTCCTCTCCCACCCTCCGGCGCGACTCAAACTGTACCGGAACTGAGGAGACGGCAACAAATGCAGAAGAAGCCAATCTTCTTGCGTCGATGGGCAAATGTGTTTTCGACATTACCCTCGATATAACATTGATTTTGTAGAAAGTGGTAGATGAATTGCAGCCATCACAAGTCCCATTTTCGTCTGGGCGAATGCGCTTCTTGTCGACGGAGCAGTTGCTCTTCGAAAGTAGTCTTATTTTAATGGGAAAATGTGCCTCGCCCATTTCTCAGAATGCTGCCACTTGAGGCCATTTGTCCTCCGAACTCGGCGAGCCGAGGACTCGAACCTCGCCGTTAGTGCTGATGAAGAAAGAGCCGGGCAGGTTGAGAATGCAGTCCGGTTAGGGCATGAAAACGGCTTTCAGGAATGCTTGCTCAAACAAAAGTGCATTAGTTTACGTCGATTTGGAAGTGTTGACGGCACAAAAATGCTGCTTCATGGCATGTACGAGAAGAGAATGCAGGCAGGGAGTCTGGGAGAATATTTTATCATTGGATAAATATAGTATTTTGCAAGCAATTATGGTCTACAAAAGCTCAGAATAAAGCAGTAATGGGAATGGTATCGTTAGAGCTGGCCAAAGTTTCACGTAAACGATGGTATATATGAAGCTCAATATTGTGAAAGAAGATCAAAAATTACTCATACATTCACAATTATTACAATTCCGAAAAAAAATGCGCCAAAACTCAGTCCCGTGCCTGTCATGAAGGGAGAAAAGAGTCAATTGGGCATAATTTCATCGTTTATGCCATCATCTTTTCCGGCACCAAATTGGAACATTGTGACTCCTGCCTTAAAAATTGTCCTCCTCTCTACATTTCACTATTCATCCCTTGCCCATATTTCCGGTAGCAGTTTTTCCCCTTACAACAAACCCACTTTTGGCAACCATCTACTCGCCTCAAGATCGTTCGAATGTGCATTTCATCGAATCTGGCAGCTTGGATGCTCTTTTTCGCCGTTTACATGCGTCCTTTGTGCACTTTTTCAAGCTGGCCACTGCACCCCACTTGCCGACGATTGGTCATTTGCACATGTTTGCCTCAAACCAATAAACAGTTTAGCAAAAGTGGACAGATTGCTGCATCATCAGCATGTTCTCGGTGTACATATTTCATCATTTTCGCGCCATTCAACCGAAATTGACCAGATCCGAATCGTCGGGAGCCTTCAGAAGGTGTCCGTCAGGCTTTGCACGATCCAAAAGTTGGGCCCACATCTTCCGTGGTTGTGCATCTGACAAAAACGAATGGAAAATAATTTGAGCTTGTTTGCCAAACTGTAGCAGGATCTTGTGAATATAATCGGCTACAGTATTTTCAATACAAAATGCCTGAGCAGGTGAATGAATGAAGCTTGTCTTATCGCTTATCTGATGCCTAGCTCTTGCCGCCCAGGCTGGACGACGAGCGCGAGCTGGGCCGGCTTTCACTGAACTGGAAAGAAAATGTCACAGAAATGCGACTAAAACAAAAGTTAACCACAATTTCTAGTGAATAAAAGCTATCCACATTGTCAATATATTCGCATTACTATAACTTTCACTTCAGAGCTTGTCCCCAGTCCAATGAAGCTTTGGCCATGAAATGTTGTTGGACGAAAAATGATTGAAAAAAAAGAAATATTCGCCCAAAAAGGATCAATAAACGGCTTTTACTGTAACCTAGTTATCATATAATGTTAAGGAGTATTAACCTACCACTCAAACTGAGAGACTCACTTTGTGGAATTACCGAAAAATTCGAGTAGGAGATCGTTTAAGCAGGCCTTTTGTTCATTTGCATAAACAGGATTATATTGTTTTTTATCCTCGACCATTCCCAATTTTGTGTTTGCCCCACAAGCACGAAAATGAGGGGAACCTGTGCTTTTTAAATGCTTATAACCGATTTGGTAATTAATAAGACATTTGGACTTGAGGCCGAGGTAATGCCTTTCAGACTGAGCTTCGTTGTTCGAGCAAGTTTGAAGGCAAGCCTTACGCTTCAATTAGAGATTTTATTGTTTCCAGCACCGTTTAACTGTCTCGAACAATTCTCGAACAGGAGAAAAACCCTCATGCTCAAACTAATAATTGCTGGCGAGAACTCCAATAGGATTAAATAAAAAAGTGTCCAAGTAGCACGGTTAAAGTGAATCATAAACATGACCAATGTTTGTTAGTTTTAACAGGAAAAGGGCAAAATGGTAGGCACACATAAATGTCAAAATAATTAGACACGCCTTTCTATCATTGCATGATGGTGTATTTATTGTGAAAAGCGTGGCCTGGCAGCAAAAAAATAAAAAAATAAAAATGTAAAATATACGCCTGCCCACTTAAACGAGTTCCAAAAACGACAGCATTCTCTTTAGAGAACACATTTTTCGTAGTCAACGACCATTATAGCTTGACCGATGAGTCTTTGACATCATTTCTGTCTCAAGAGCACCAGAACACTGATGCTGATGCTGATGCTGATAAGACCTCATCGTATCCGCCGATTTCATGCGGATCAGACATTCCTCGACTTCATGTGTGACCTCATTCGTATGCACATACGTCGTTTGACATGGTTTCCGCACCATAGTCCTCTTTCGGTGTTCTCTGCTGCGTCCTCCCTTCCCTTGTTGCCATGCCTGCCTGCAGCATCGGCCCTTTGACCGGAGGCATTTTCGGATTTTTTCCAGTTTTTGTCAGTGGAAAGTACCAGTCCTAGCACCGAGCTGAAAACCGTCAAAACGACCAATTTTGTGTACAAACGTTTGTCCTAAGTCGTAATTCTGATGGTCAGTTTTCATACCTACCCGTTTCTTCATCCCCAATTGTGCCGATACACTCCAAGTGGGTATGAATGTGTGTGTGTGTGTGTATATGTGTGTATGTGAGGCTTCGGTTAGACATGCCATAG